AAGTGTCATGACACTTATGTAAATTTGTTACCTGCTTCATAATCAAATAAATCAACACTATCTACGATAATTAAGTAATATGAATAACAGAGCACGTGCGGGTATAGGAAAGGGGGAAATATATTGGTATGAGGTGAAACCATGAATGAATAACATGTCAATATACTTGTGATCATCAGATGTTGATGTCATATTGCTATATGACCATGAGTATGTAGAGCACGATTCTTTATAATATAATCATGTTATAATCGATTAAATCTTAAGCAATGCTGTACATTGACATTCGACGACTGTTAGAAATGAATACAGAGATTACATTTTGGTTTCGTTTGCACGTTTGTTATCTTGATACAGAATGCGTTATTCGAGAAGTTTTTGAAGATTTGAAGATTGTTCGGAAACATTTAGTTTAAGACTAAATAATGCACGTGTGATATATAAGGAAAGGGACAAAAGGATCGCAGGGTAAGAACGATTGCATTCTATTTAAGTTTTATTTTCTAAGATAACTCCCAGTTCACTTTTATTTTGTCCTGTTTGTCGAGATTAATAAAAAAGATAATCTTTATTTAACGTCGTGTACATATTCAACAACAAACGAAACATCTGTAGAGGTATTATTACGACGCCGCTAGGGGATTACATGTTGTTTTCGTCGTGGAGAAAAAACCACGGGGGAAAATCACCGTGTCATCGGGGATATAACAACTAGCCCTATCAGACATCACTATCGCCACCACAGGGGAACGAACCGATATTCTCGAGAAAGTGACAGGTCTGACGCTTACACTTGATTGCACACAGTAGTAATGAATGTGCGCGTTAGCGATTAAGGCTACCGAGGCACCCAACTTGTAAACTGTCGTTATGGGGATTATTTAAGACATTTTGGTAGTTTGTATTTGAATGATGGGTGATAACAGCTTTATACAATTTTGATACACAATACCTTATACTATTCTTTAAATTATAACAAACACTCACCTGGCGTTAGTTTCCCTTTCAATATACATCTATGTTTAACTTTGAAAAAGGATGAAAAAGATTTAACAGAACACATCTAAAATGAAATATGAATATAGAAGTTTTTATATAGATATCTTAAGACACAATAGTAATTACAATTTTTCAGAATTAAATTTACCTCCACCGGAAACATGCAGATCGTACGTCTGACCTAATGCGACTGTAGTGGGTGATGTGCTGCTATTATGGTCAGTTAGGGACATCGTCAGGCTAATTTGTTCTTCTGATGCAAAAACTGTCGGAGTAACACTGTAAGAATAAAAATGCTGAAATCAATGAAAACATTGAATTGTGCAATTTCTGCTTACATGAATGACAATTAACGCACCAACCTGTCTGTTAATCCCAAGTAAGAAATATGGAATGTCTAATTGACAAATTTAAGTCATTTGATTGATGACGCATATGAGTAACAACTAGCATGATGAATTACTAAAAAGTAAGTTACCTTCCTGGAAATTGTACTTTCACGGTGTACGTCTGTCCATTAGTGACTTGTGTGCATGTTAAGTTTAAAGCTCCAGATCCGTCTATCATAAATGGATGTGTAGTTGGAGTAGGAGGAGTTGGAACAATCGTATTGTACAAGTTCACAGTCACCGCAGTATCCTGTTTTACAAATGCGGAATGCAGGAGTTATTATTTAACTATCTAACACCTTCAATTTGCATGTGTTACTTTTAAAGGAAAATTGTTTTCTCCAGAGAGAAATTATATCGTTTTAACCATTATCAACTATATATTACTTTTTACCACCTACCGGTAACATGATCAATTTATTATCATAGGTTGTCAGTATAAGATAACTCAAAAAATGAAAACGTCTTGACAAAAACTTGAGAAAGGAATTAGCCAATATTGGAATGTATTTTCCCAAACAAGAACGTCTGCTCGCGCCAGTTAACGTCCCGAACCGGAAATAGTGACCACACAAAGGTCAACCGCGTTGGAAAATAATCCCTCAACAAATCATTATATAAGTTGAAAAAGAAATTGTTGATTAGTATTCATTATCTCAAAAAATGTGGCAATGCGCAGCGACCTGCAGTTACCAATATATACAAGTATATCCTAACTGAACCTGCTGAATATTAATTCTCTTCATTATATCTTTGATAATTGTAGCGAAATATACATGTACTTAAGATGTATATATTTGATTTAATGTTATGCAAAAACTTAAGTACCTAAATATTTCAAACTATAGAAATTATCAAGCATTATTATTGTCAAGTTAACAAGACCAGGAAATGAAATCGGAATACGCATTTTAAAATATGGCGTTGAATGAGAAGTATATTATTAAGAAAGCCAATGCATGAATTTTCCATATTAAACACGAACAAAATTAAATGGAAATATAAAATGAAAACTGTTGGCAATTCTAGAACTTTACCAAAAAAGAGAGTTAAGGGCCAACGCTAGGTGAAGTTTTCTGACTTGGTCAAATAAATCAGCACTTAAGTCAAGCTCCACTTCTGACCTATATAATATAAAAAAGGTCAAACAAGACCTATTGGAGAACAGCATATATCGCCATTTTAGGTATTTTAAGTTGATAAATTTCAATAGAAATACATGTATCTTAACTTGTTGTGTGTTACTTAATTGGTCTTTTTTTTTTGAGCGACGTTTTTTTTTTTGTTTTAGCATTGAATTAATTTGTTTTGTTACCCACAGACAGTCATTAATTTTAGTGTGTTTCTTTGATGTATATATTCGTTTTGGTTCATTCTTTTGCTAATGGTTGCTGCCTTTTCTTCTTTCTAATGAAAGATATTTTAAGAATGCTAGATTTTATCCATGGGGGTTCCACGAGCTGAGTTTCTTTTTCATTTTCTACCTTAAAGAGCGTAACAAACTTGTCTATAAACTTTCAAAAACTACAAGAATCAACATAAACCATTTACGGCGGAGAATGCGTCTTTTGTAAGAAAGATATACATTTGACTGAATAAAGCACTAAATAACAAGGGAAACATGGGGTTTATGGGTTTTTGGGGTGATTGCTGTTTTAGATTTTTTAATACTTATTCTCGAGTATTCGACTTATTGTTAAATACTGAGTTTGATAACACAGCGATCAGTATGCAAAAAAAGCCAATTATTGCATTTGATTTGCTACATTGAGAATAGGACAAAATTAGGTCTCTTCGCGCAGGAGATTCTTTATTGTTGTACCTGAAGCTGCTGCAGCCGTGAATTAGATGGTCAAAAATTTCCTACCAATTTGGTAATTACACTTTCCTGTACCCAATGATAGGAAATGATCATTTTCTCACCCACTTTTCCACAAATCAAATGAATAAAACAATGACATCCGTGTGCGCTTTTCAAGTCAACATTAATTGTTCTATTGCAAATTGGTAAAAATAACTCCACATGACTTTTCGACACAAGCTACATACAAGTTTACGTCAATATCTGAGCATGTTAGTATGCCGTTGTGATCAACATCGAGATACTATGTGATGTTTTACATTTGAATTAACAATTCAAATTGTCAAAATATTGTAGCAGCGAAGCGAATTAATTCCGAATAAAAATTGTCAATGTTTACTTACCACCGGACAGCCTGTTATAACAATAGTATGGGTAGTAACGTTCAGCGTAGGAAGCCCACAATCACTTGCCACCGACTTAACCCCATCTGGTACTCCCGTATATGTTATATTTCCATCCATAGTGCACGCTTAATACAGAAAAACGACTGTTAGGTTCAGGTATATGTAATATATGTAATACATTGTTTTATAAAATATAAATATTATTAATAATAAAGAGGGTCGAAAATAAGACTCGTATCAATAAATCTGGAAAACGTTAAGATGAATTGGTATTTTTTATTTTATGATTGAATCTGCTTTCAGTTTTATTGTATCCATATTCAACGATATACTTACACATTGGAGAAGGTGTTGTCGCCGACTCTCCCGCACTAAAGGTAGTTGTACATAAGACCAGGAGGAAAACAGTCTTCATACTTTTTCAAACGTTTGGTTTCTGAAAAAAGAAGGTGTCAATGTTATCAAACTCCCGAAAAATATACACTACGATAGCTGTCTTAGTATTGTTAAAATAGTCAGTGTTATCTTAGGATTTTGAAATTCTACGGTGACGCTCAGGTGTATTCCACAAAGAATTAAAGTATAATTACCATGTTTTGACGAGTCGGTAGTATCTTTAAGCATCTAATTACATTCACCGAAAAGAAACTTTTTGAGAGTAAAAACAAAAAACGGAAAATGAAAAAACAATTATACGGATAAAGGTAAGACAAGTATAATATGCAAATAGAATGATAACTTAAAAATGACTGCGAGGATGTTAGGATGGGCGATCATTTATGGTGAGGGTATGGATTTCATAGTTTGTGCGTATTTAAGTGTTATATTGTGTACAAAGTAGTCACTGAATAATGTTTATTTATGATATATATTTGTAAACAATATTCTACTTAAAAAGGAAATATATACTTTTATTTGCTTAAATGAAAATACTATACGACTGTTAAAGGGACATCACGTGAAAAGGCGTGTTTTTTTTTAATGAA